AGTCTGTTTCCAGAGACAAGCTATCGGCAGTTTCACTCGTGATTGAATGTAATCAGTTATGCAAAAGAGCGTGGAAATAGAGTTGCAGAGAGACGTTTTGGACCTCCTCCCACCGAGTGTATCAGGTAAATGTTAACTAATTACTAAATAAAAATGTATTCTGCGCTATCTTTAAAATATTGATTTCTTAATTTTGGGTTGGAAAAGTGGGGGGCGTCTTGTACATGGGGGCGTCTTATTGATGGGAAAATACGGTAATTTTAACTAATTACTAAATAAAAATGTATTCTGCGCTATCTTTAAAATATTGATTTCTTAATTTTGGGTTGGAAAAGTGGGGGGCGTCTTGTACATGGGGGCGTCTTATTGATGGGAAAATACGGTAATTTTAACTAATTACTAAATAAAAATGTATTCTGCGCTATCTTTAAAATATTGATTTCTTAATTTTGGGTTGGAAAAGTGGGGGGCGTCTTGTACATGGGGGCGTCTTATTGATGGGAAAATACGGTAATTCTTTAGTTTGTGTATGTTCCTATACGTTTTCAGACAAATTAAGAATATTTCCTTTCATGCATTTAGTTAGATTATTTTTAACAGTTGTGTATCCCATCTGTTCCATCATGTGTGGTGCAACGGAAAGAACAGGTCTCAGCTTCTCACACACACAAAGAGGTTTGTCTGTTCATTCTAACTATATGAATGCAATTCCAGATGTTGAAAAATATACCTGAAATGGATGTGATGATGTCATTCAATATTGACACATGGCGTGTGTTTTTCCCTCTCCCATCCAGATACTTTGCTGAGCACAATGGTCCTGCAGCTCAGCAAATTCTCTTAGACTCTCTTCAGCCCAAATATAGGTAATGTTTAAAGCTGGAAATAGCAGCAGCCTCTAATAAATCATTTGAAATATCAATTTGCATCATTTTTATTCTTGATGTAAAATACTCTGTTTTCCTTGTATTCTTTTTTTTTTTAACTTGGGGATGGGGGTGGGGTAAAACACCTTGTTTTTACATATTTATTTCACTAACAAATCATGAACATTAATACATGTTTATACTTTTTTTACTTATTTTCTTTTCTTTTTTCATCTTTCACAATGAAGGGAAATCACTAAAGAGGAAATAAGGTATATATATATATTCCTTTTCTATTTTATAAGCTTTGAAATAAAGTTTGGGAACAGACATAAAGGGGACCCAGAAGCACAGACCCAAAAAGATCTGAGAAGTTGGCTTCTAGAGTCACTGGGAGTCAGGCACTATATAAATTATTATTATTAATATTATTATTGAAGTCCCTGAAGGCTTCCTTGCAAGAAGACCCTGGTGAGGGAGAAAGGAGTGATTGCATATTCTAGGTCCAAATGAGGACAAAGAAGAAGGTCCGGGAATAAAAAGAACCAAGAAAGAAAGGTTGAAAGAAATGAGCATGTTTTCCCTACCAAAGATAAGGCCGAGGGAGGACTTGATAGCAGTTTGAATATGTGTGTCTCTGTAAAAGTGTAAATATTCTGAAGAACTTTCAGATAAAAAAAATGCAAAGTCTTATTTCTAAGAGGGCAGGTCTTGATCTAATGAGCTTAAGTTATAGAAGGCTAGATTTTGGCTTAATCATATGAGAAACTTCTTAACAGTAAAAACGATTCAGTGACTGGAGAAGATGTCAACAGCCATCTCTGTTCCAGGATTTTCTTCATCTGTGAGGTTTGAGTAGATTCCATGGTCTTCTCTCATATCTGTTTGTAAGTCCCCTCCCTTCCTTTTTCATTCCTACAGTACACAAGGGGGATACTTTTTTCAAGTCCTACAGTTGGGTTGCTTCCTGGGGCACCTCCTGAAAGCCAGATGAGATGACTAGCTGAAGCCATTTCTTTCCAAAACCTTGCTCATAAAGCAAAATATGGCTTCTCAGTGATTTGTTCTCAATCACTTCCTGCCTTTGCATGAAGAAAACAAATCTTTTGGGAAGGGGAGAAATGTCCACCTGAGGGAAGCTCCATGAGACAAAAGTTATTTTCCCTGTGTGAAGCACTGTTTTATCTCCTACCTTTTCCCAGTTGGGTTTCATGGATTTACTTACCCTCTGCTTCCAGATGTAGGCTTAAATTAGTGCTCCAGTATTTATGTATTCTGAACATCTGTGATTAGGTACTTTTTTATAGGTACCTAATACCCTACTTCTTTTAAAGACTTCTTCCAGCTAGGGAGCATTTGCATGACATGGAAGAAAATACTGATGAATTAATACCAAAATAGCACTAAAGAGAGAGACTGGTAGGTTGGTCATTCCAACCAATTGGAATAGTCTAGACCAGCTCACTGTAATAAGGACAATGTTTCCATTATTGTTACTACTGTTATTTATTTATTACATTTATATAGCACCATAATCAGAATCAGCTCATACCAGTTTTACAATAAAATAAAATGAGAAAACATACAATATAATAACAGACAATAAAATGGTAACAGCTATAACAACCTAAAGCACCAACCCCAGTCTTCACTAGGGTGACAGTTAACATTCAAAGTCACAGAGAAAACTTGAGTTTTGATCACCTTTCAAAAAGATGTCTGAGTTGGTGTCAATCAGACGTCTTGGGGAAGCTGTTCCACAAAGGGAAAGTTCCCGCAGGAAAGCACTGTCCCTGGATCCCACCCCTCTCCCCACACATATGTGGGGAAGTTTAAGAATCCCCAACCAGGACAAGCATATAGGACAGTCTGGTTTCATCTGGAGGAGACAATTCTGAGAGCAAAGTCATTTAGGACTTTATAAATTAAGTTTGAATTGTGCCCAGAAATCTATCAGAAGCTAGTCCAGGACCTGCAAGATGTTACATGTTTGTAGCGACTAACACCCACCAGCACGCAGACTGCAACATTTCATACCAATTGCCATTACTGGATAGTCTTTGAAAGCAGCCCCCTGTAGAATTAATGGCAGTGGTCTTTTTTTTTTTTTTTAATAAAACATCCCATGGTATGTGTGCCCATTCACAAAATGGATGCTATGGGGACCCAGCTAGTCACAAAGCTTCTATTAATAATCAAAGAAATACCGCAATTAAGGCCATCCACTCCAGCATGGACTCAGTGCAGAAATGCCAGTTAAAGCATCCCTAACAACTGACCGTGCAGCTTCTGAACACAACCTGTGTGAGGTAGCAGTTATGATGTTGGACTAGTCCAGTGTTGTCCAAACTTGGGCACTTTAAGATGAGTGGACTTCAACTCCCAGAATTCCCCAGCCAGCCCAGCGTGGGGGGGGGAGTGGTGGGAGGTTGGTTCCTCCACTTTTAAATATCACCCATTTTTTAAACCACTAGCTGAGTCCCCAC